CTCTCTCTCTCTCTCTCTCTCTCTCTCTCTCTCTCTCTCTCTCTCTACCAAAGACTGCTTCAGTCAGGCAGTTATCTATAATGATAACGCATCCCTAGATTTCCTCAAATTTAATAGTGACTTTGATATTTGTTAAATGAAATTTTCAATTCAAATAAAAGTGATTGTTGTAAATGTGTTTCATCTGAAAGAAAACTTTGAAAGTCATTTAAAATAGTCTTATTTGTAGTCTTCAAATGTGGGTTTTATTATGTATTACACAAAAAATTTTGAGAAAAATTGGCTATGAGTAATCTTTCGTTCAGCCATCTTGATCACCCCGATGAAGCATTCGGATCTGGTTGCCTGCTCATCCTTTCCAGGCATAGAGGGGGCTCACTGAGAAGTAACACATGTGTAAGTAAAAAGTGTATTTAAATTTCTGTATATCCCAGCTCCACTTTCAGAAAGCAATCACAGTCATTTGCCTCTGTTCAAGAGGAGAATAATGATCAGGCCATTTGGGTTGAGAAGGGGATTCACATTCAGTGGTGTCCACAGAAATACGACTGTGTTTTTCTGCGTCTGTGGAATTCTAAAGAGAGAGTAAAGGCAGAAGCAAAAGAGGAGTCATTTTTCTTCCTCTCATAATAGAATATTATATTGAATAGTCAGAGTCAGAGAAGGACAGACACACAGACAGATGGAGAGAAGGAAGTAGAGACAGAAAAGTGGTACAAGCCACTGTTTTTTATCGTAAACTCTCTCCAAGACTATTAAGCAACCAATGGTTTATCAACTATGAAACACATCACAGCCCCCTCTCTTTATAAAATATCTTCCTTTGAACTTTTTAAATAACATCAGCACTAAATATAAATTTACATTAGTTATTTGGTAATTTAATATAAATCTTTAAAATGCACTAGCTATTTAAAATAGTCTCACCCATAATATTTACATAATAGTTTATGTAAACATGTATATTGTATATCATATAAATATGTACTTAACTGTTCATTTTTATTATAAGACTGATGAATTAATTTGACTTAATAAAATTAAGTACATAAACATGTCAGTATAGAGCACATCCCTTTCCATCCTGGATGTCTTGTGACTTCTCAGAGGCAGCCATGATGAAGACTTGTGCATGCCTTTAAAGAAATGAAGACAAGATCCACACATAACGAGCAGAGCGAGGGAGGTCTCAGTCCTCTAATATGAGAAATACTTTCCGTCCTTCCCTGGAACTAACTAATTTCAATCTCTAGGTTCTGGCCAGCTATGAAATTCAAATTAAGTCATTCACAACTGCAAAGGCCTGCTTTCCACGTCCACAGAGCACCTTGCCTCCCAAGGGCACAATGATCTATGATGAGCTGATACCCGGGAACAGTCTCCACCAGGAAGCATCGTTCTCATCCGTTATCAGCAGGACAGTCATTGCTACATCCTCATTGTTCTCCTAGGTGCTCTCTCTCCAGATTCTGTGCCAGGCTTTGGAACATGAGGTTACCTGATACAGCTAACAACCTCTTTCTGACAGTTTTTCCACTCCCTAGCTTGCTATCTAAGATCCCAGTAGGGGTTCCTAATACTAACAGGAGCTGCAAACCTCTCTGCCTCCCTAGGATTCTCTTTTACAAATTTAAGTACACTTTATGACTGTGCTTACATTTTATGAACTACATCTTAGAGCATCTTTAATATGCCAGGAGGTCTCAAAACAGGCATCAAACTAATTCTTATAAGTCTGTTAAATACATTAGACAATGGTATACAATTTCAAAACATACAATGTAATCTAACCTTATTAAAAATGGTAACAGTGTGATTTTTCCTCATTGAACTTTGTGAAGATTACAATAATTACATTAATTATTGTGAATAAGATTCTGGACAGGCAGTGAGTGCTTTATTGAGAAAATGAGTTCATGTCATCCCTATGCAGAGTTTCTGTCAAATTCATGTTTGGACATGAGGAACAACCCTAGTTAAACATAAGGATTGGTTGAAAAAGTCAATATTTTATAGGAAAAGATATCTAAAAAATAAATGACTTCCTAAGTTATAGTAGTTCCTATTGACTTGCAACAACTTAAACTGTTTTATGATACTTAAATAAATAGGTCAAGATATGTGATTTTTTGGGGGAGGAAGAGTTTTTGTTACCAGTTTTCGAAGCTATGCATTTTGGCTGAGAATAAGCATAAATGAATAAATAATAGGATGTTAATAAAATTCCATTTGTATATTTGTATATTTTGCATTTGTATAATTTGAAATTTCTTTATTTGTTAAATTCTTTTAAAGGATTATAAATTTGAAGACTAGCTCCAGTGATCCCCAGAGAGGTTGATCTGGTTGTACCCTCCAACACGTATACCCAAAGGACTCTACTTCCTTATACAGCTTGCATGAGCATGAGAGGCATGCACATCCATGTCTATAGCTGCTCTAGTAACAGTAGTCAGATAAGGAGACATCCTAGATCCCTGTCACGTGATGAAAACATGGCACCTCTGCACAATAAGGTTTTATTCAACTGTAAAGGTAAATGAAATTATGAAACACGTGGGCAAATAGCCGGAGGAGGAAACATGCAGAGTGTGGCAATCAACATGCAGAAAGAGCCACGGCCAATGTTCTCACTCACATGTGGATCCTCACATCCAGGCTTTAGTTGTGAGCATTAAAATTGAGGAAGCTAGGATGGGGCCATTGGTGGGAATGGGAAGACATATTTGAAAGGAGTGAAAGCAGCATGACACGGGTGATTTGAAAAGATGTAATGAGGAGAAACTGACATCTGGGATATTTCAAAGAGCCACATGGAAACCAGTTATTTTCCAGATCTCTCTCTCTCTCTCTCTCTCTCTCTCTCTCTCTCTCTCTCTCTCTCTTTCTCTCTCTCTCTCTTTCCCTCATCTAAAAGAGTTGAATTGTGGTTAATAAAACTTTTCCAAGGACAAAAGAGATTACATATTGCTTCTCCTTAAAATACAATATGCCCAGATACATGCTACATAAATACAGGCTTCAAGTGACTCTCATATTTGTTTAAACAAAATAAGGAACTGATTGCCTACCCTCTCGCTTTCATTCCAGCCATGTCCCAGGCTCCAGAAGCAAGCACACAGCTCATGTAATGCAAATGTTTGAGAGTTATTTCCACATATGCATGTGATATGTTTCTGCTGGAGAACCCTGATGAATCTTCATTGTTATTTTTACACTAGTTTTGTGAATTCCGTGCATTTTGTTGCATCTCTGCTTTAATACTCAGTTAAAACCTTTGAAAGATTAGGTATTTACTATAGCAACTTTGTCCTATGTCACTTTTGGTCAAAAGGATTTTTAACACCAACAGAATTGCCTTTCAGCTCTGTAACTATACTCCTTCATTGTTTTTCTGGATTTTGGCTGATTTGCCTTTTCATTACCTCTTCAATCCATTTTCTCATATTGGTAACAAAATAAAGGAGACTATATGCAATAAATATTAAGATAATATTTACAATAATAAACTTTCTATATTGGTGTTGCAAAAAGGAATCGATAGACTACACATTCTCTTCATTCAGAGGTCTCTGTAATTCAGGAACATTAGCATCTTATATGTGCATGAAACTCAATGAACAACAGAAAAAAGTGGGGTGTGGGGGTGCCTGTGAAAGCCTGAGTTTTACACACTCTCGGGGAGTTGGTGGTGAGGGTGATGATTAAAGCTGAGAACCTGAGATGATGAGTCAGCTAGTCTCGCAGAAGGCAGAAAAGATCTCAGCTTGGAAGTCGGGCCGGAGGAAGGTACTGAGCTGGAACAGGGAGGATACACGGTCAGTGAAAGACTCTGCCTGCCTCCGCACCTTAGCCGTTGTTCCTCTAGTGCCCATAGCCTTGGCACATAGCCATACAGCTTCCCTCTCTGACAATATAAAGACCCTAGAGAAGAGGGCCCATCATTTGATAGAGTTCTGCCATAAAGCAATACGACCCACATAGAAGGAAAACGAGATGTACACTGTGAAACAGTTGAGTGAGCTTTCCTGCCATAAAAATCACAATAAACAAGAATTATGATTGCTGGGACACTACCGAGAGAGAGGAGTGGACAGGTATCTGACCTGTTCTTCAGGAAATCGGTCACTCCTGCAGAAGCCTTTGGGCAGACGCATAAGAATCTGCATTTCCTCGTCGACAAATTTTTCACTTTGGTACCTTAAGGGAAATCCAATGCTTCTTTCTTTGTCATCATATTTGCTAAGTTATATGTGACACTGAGGATCTTTTACTGGTTATTAACAATTTGTCTTTCGTTTTTAAAAAAGTCTTTTCCCTCTTTGTGTTGTGGGAGTCATGGAGATGGCTGCTTCCTTTGGCGTTTGCAGGGATCATGCATCTAGCACCACAAGCTCACCACTTCCCTGTGCGTACTTTATAACAGTTTCTCACTGTATGAGAAATCCTTGCTGAGATTTTAATGGAAATTATATTAAACCTATACATCAGTGTGGGGACAATTGTCATCTTTACTCTTTTGACCCTCCCCATTCATGAACAAGCTCACTGTGTTTCTCCAACTTCATTTCTTTTGCTATATTTAATTTATTTCAACATACAACATCCACACACACATTTTGTTGAGTGCATAACAGAAGATTCGTTTCCCTGGGGCCACTGTGAATCTTGTGTTTCATCTCCATGCCTTTCTATTTGTTATTAGCCTTAGAACTGAGACTGGTAAGTGTCTACTAATGTTACACATTTCCAGGTTGCCAAGTTCACTTACTAGCTATTTTATTAAGTAGAGATAATTTCTCGATAGTCTCTTTAAACTTTTCTTTTTTAAAAAAAATCATGAGTGGATGTACATTGTACAAATTCTGTTTTTCTTCTTTATTCTACAGATAGGAGAAAGAATCTTAGCCAATTTTCAAATGGTCAGAAGAGCTCTTAAAAAATAAATGCGGTCTTATATCGTTATAATAACTTACATTTGGAGATGCATATTCTTCAATGCACATTGTTAATCAAAATGGCTCCTATTTTTCTTGTTTTTTTTTGCTTTCTTCATCTTCTTTGATTGTAATCTGATAACACCCTTTATGAAATTAATTGTGAATCTTTCTCTTTATCTCTCTGTCTTTCTCCTTGGAAGAAGTGAAATATACCCACTGGTAATTAGCCAATTTTAAACCTCTACACATGGTATTTCTTCTCAGAGGTCTTTAAATTATGAACTATGTTGATTTAATAGAGAGCAATTGCTCTGATGACTTGTTTTTACCTACGTTGAGTTTGGGGTTTTACTGTTTTGAAAGAATTGATCCACTGTTATTAAACTGCAAAATTTAGTGTCCGGCTATTCTTGCTATCCTCTTATGATACATCTTAGGATGCAGGAAGTTTAATATTGAATCATCAGTTATTCCTGATAAAATTCATAGCTTCTACTTGGGCTTGGGTTTGTTAGAGGTTGACCAGTTGTCTATTTTGTAGAGTAATTAGGTTCTTTATATTGATGTTCTCTATGGTTTGATTTTTAAGCGTATTGCCTGCTCCTCTTTATTTCTTTGCCCTGATCACTTCCAGTTTGTTCTTTTTGTACTTTTTATGATACAGAAAAATGTATATTTTTTTACTTTTTTTCTAACTTCTAATGTAAACATTTATGATGGGTGATTCGCATTGAATAGTTGTGCCCAACATATTGTATATGCTTTGTTTTTATTTTATTTTAGAGCAACTGAATGTTTAATTTCTTGAAGACTAGACTTTTCTTCTTCTTTATAGACTATTTAGAAATGTGATATTGAATCTATACCAGCAGAGATATTTCACTTTTAACAATTGTTGATACTGTGCTAAATGCCTGACTTATGAGGCATTATGTGCCTTTATTCTTAAAGGTACAAGATGAAGGGCTTATTTGGCCTCATAATTTGAGGGTACATATCCAGAAAGACAGAGTAGTATGAGTGAATCCTTGCACTGGCAAGAAGTGTGTGGGGATGTTTCTTCACATCAAGTCAGATCAGAGAAATGAGAAATGGCGCTCAGCTCTCTTTCTTCTCTCATTGTTCTGGGGCACCCAACTCATGGGATGATCCTATACACATTCAGAGAGAGTCCTCAATTCATCCTCCCTGGAAACACTTTCAAAAAGATACCCAGAAGTTTGTCTCCAGGAGATTCTGAGTCTAGGCAAATTGTCAAATTATGCAATTATCCATCATAGGTACATTGTAATCACAAATGTGATCATAAGATACCTCCCAATTTAAATGTTTAATACTTGTTTTTTTGGTTCAAGGGACGGTCTACCAAGATGTGGAAAGAAAATGGATATTTGCTGCTACTTACTTAGTACCATGTTCTATTTGTGTTAAATCTTTTTCACTTTTTGGTTATGTTTTCCACATTTCCTTAGTCTTGCTGGTTTTATGTCTGGTAGTTTTATTGGTTGTCAGTTGGTGTGTTAAAGTGCCCTGATCTAAGAGTAGATTCATCTATTTTTTTTTCTTTCAGCTCTGCATTTTGTTGTTTTTGTCAGGTTCTGTTAACGGAGTCCACAATTGCAACCATCGTGTCCTCTTGGTGTACCGAGCCTTCTGTTATTGTGAATGTTACTTCATTTTCAGTCATTTTCTTCGCTATGAAACATTACATGACCAGACATTAAGACAGCTAGTTCTGACTGGCTTAGAGTTTCGTTTGTGTGTGCGATTAATGTTTGAATGGTATACACCTTCATTTGTTTTGTTTTCCCCTTCCTATGTCATGAAATTTTAGCTGAGTTTCTTGTAAGTAGTTTAGAAATGTCCAGCTTTCTGTCTATGCTCCTGGTGTGCCATGGGAGAAGTGTATTCAAGCCACTGTGTTCATTAGGTCTGGGTTTACCAAGTTGCTGTTAGATTAGTCTTAGTCTCTGTGGCTCCTCATTCCTTTGATTCTCCTTCCTTGCTTTTTTGGAAGTTACTTGAACATTTGGGGGCATATTCCATTCAGATTTTATTTGTTTGAGTATGTCTTCTTTCGTATATAGAATTGTGTCTTTTATATAATCTTTGAGTTGTTACTCTGTGTTAGTGTTAGTGGAGATAGAAAGAGAGAGGGAGAGAGAGAAAAAGAGCTAAAAAGAGAGGTGGAAAACCTTACATCACACCCATCACATGAAGCATGGAACCCTCACTTCTTATGTTATTTAAATTTTGCCACATTTTGGTGTCTGTAATTTTGTTTTTTTATCTTATTGAAAATATTTTTCTCACAATGCTTTCTGATTACAGTTTCCCTCCCCCAACTCCTCCCAGATCCTCCCCAACTCACCAGCCACGTAAATCCACAGGTTTTCTTTCTATTTCTTCTTAGAAAACAAACAGGCATCTGAAAGTCAATAACAACACCAAATAAAAACAAACCAGAATAGGACCAAACAAGCAAAAAGGAGGGGTAGTTAAGGAAAAAGCACAAGAAACACATACAGGCACAAAGACGCCTTTGAATTCAGTCTCTCGAATCTCTCTTTGTGCCGGGGAGTTCTTAGTCTCTCCCTCCTTCCTTTATTTCCTTGCACCTTTCCTTCTTTCTTTTTCAATTTTTTTGTGTTTTAAATTCATTTATTTTTATTAAATTTTTCATACTGCATTTTTTTGGTCATACTCTCTCCCCTCCCCTAGCTCTTTTCTAGATTTTCCATGCCTTATTTAGTGAATGTTACTCCAGCCACTTTTCTCCTGCTTCTGCTGGTCCACAGTAATACACATAGTAGTTTTTTTAGTATTCATTCCAAGTAGTCTCCGTTCAAGGCTCTCCTGAAAAATTCAGCCTATTTTTAGCCAGGCAGTGGTAGTGCAGGCCTTTAATCTGAGCAGAAACAGGCAGATCTCTGTGAGTTTGAGACCAGCCTGGTCTACCAGAGCTAGTTCCAGGACAGGCCCCAAAGCTACAGAGAAACCCTGTCTCGAAAAACCAAAATAAAAAAATTCAGCCTGTTTTTTAGCTATTGTTCTGACACTTAAAATTCAATTAATCTGTTGTCAACACTGCTAATACGAAATACATGCAAAAATGTCACATAGTTAAATAAACAAAGAACAAAACCACGAAAGATTTATCTGTGGATAAAGCTACTATAATTAACAAATTGCTTTCGCTTGAATTTTGTAATGGTCTATGGATGATGAAATACAGAATTGCCTTGTAATGTTACAGAAAAATAGAATTAGAAGTTATTCATCTGACTGCAGATAATCCATCTCTTTCTAATGCATAGAGCATATCTTCTCTCATTTTATCCTCTCTTTCGGTGCTATAAACAGCACACAGGCTCATATTCAGTGTAAATTAAGCCATCGAGGGAGAAGTTGCATTCTCACATTTTTGGGCACCACCCACAACCTTGCTTTCTTGGTCTTGCAAACATGAACAATCTTACTGACAGATGCCGTCTGTGGTGATGTTGGGGCAGTGTGCCCCCACCCACACACAGTGGTACTTACTGTCCCGAGCCTTGGTGGGGACAGCCAATGAATACTTGAAGCCTGAGAAACGTAACATTCTAATTTATTTCTATCTAAATTACTCCAATTTAGGAAAGGATGGTGAATTGCACCAATTTCCCATAAAATTCGCTCATTTTGATGAACACCAGTTTGTCTCCTAGTGCACGATATTAGAGAAACAGAAAATAAACCCGTGTACACACATTCAAATGTCTCCAGCCTTTTATTTTGAATTAAACAACTGCTTTTTGTTCTTCTCATTAATTCAGTGGGTAATTAACACTATGCCATACCGTGAGTACCACTTGCATAATATGAACAGTCAACAATATTAATATTCCCTTTCTTAGAAATAGGAATGAACCGAAAAGGCCTTTAACAGCTGTTTGAAGCATATTTTGTAATCAGATTGGGCATTTGTTCCTGTAAACAATAAAATGGTGAGCTGTTCTTCAAGACTGCAACCCTGCCTCGTTTTTATAACCTGATCATTTATATTGGTAGAAAGCAAGCTGCATTATGAATGGATTTCCTGATAAATTCATCTCAATATAAACCTCTCCCAAATATCTCTTTTCCTCACCTTCTTCCCTGGAACTATTGAATATTTGAATGCTGAAATTTAAAGCAATTGCAAATAATAGTGACAGATGTCCTCTGAAATAGTACCTTACAAATAGAGCAGCTTCTTACTCGCATCTTTTGCCAATAATAAATATGCAAATGAAAATATTTTATATGGTTTATTATGTGCATGAATCACTAGAGACTTCTACCAGTACCTAGGCATCAAAAGCTGTCTACAAGGTGTCTGTTGAGGAAGAGCGTGAGGAAGAGCTGGCATGGAAAAGACACTGAGAGGAGTACCACAAACAAACCTTCTCCAAGTGGTATTCATCCCTTCTGGAAACTTATGGCACATAATTAACCAAGTGTAAGAATTTTTTTCATTTCACAAAAGGTATAAAGGATGGGAAGGGTTCACAGAGTGAGTGAAGTGCTTTACAAGCATGAGGACTTGAGTCTGGCTCCCCAGTACCCATATAGAATTTCGACAGGCACATCTTTGATCACCTGTACCCCCAGCTCTTGGTTGTGAAGACTGGCAGACCTTTCAGACATGCTGGTCAGCCTGTCTAGCATAAATAGCAAGCCCAAGGTTGAGTTAGAGGCTCTGTCTCAGAAACCACAATGGAGAATTACTACATAAGACCCTTGGTGTTGATTTCTGGCTTTTCTATGGACATCTGCATCGACATAGACATATACATGCACACACACATCCAATTAAACCCTAGAATTCTTTCAGTGACTATAAGGCTACTGGAAAGTTTGAGTAGAGAATGAGGCATAATTATGGACAGCATCTAGAACTGGGGAAGCAGGCCTAGTACTTCTAGTGGGATCTGGGATCTGAAGAAAATAGACCCAATATTTCCTGAGTAAGTACCAGATCATCTAGCGACTGTTAAGGTGTTATTCCAAAGGATGCAGGGAACTTAATGCATGCAATAACAACTCTGAACTGAGTGTATGCAATTAATGCAGAACCTCAATGCAAAAGTAGCTGTTGGTTGAGAATATTAAATATGGTTGACAAAATATGAGAAATTTCACAGAAGTTCCTGAAGAATCTACAGGGAAACGTCCATCTCGAGACTTAGGACGATGCTACCAGGGATGAATCCTTTGTACACACAACTTTATTCTTCACTGATGGCATGGGTTCATCCTAGACCTCTCCCTGTCCCTCCCCCAGAATCTCAAATCTCCAGTCTGATTCAGATGTACTTGTAATTTACTTTACATCATTGGGCTATTTCTGACTTGTGTTGTGTCAAACCTAGTTAGTCTTTCCCATTGGGCCATTACTTCTGATCATTCTATTATTTCTAAGACTTGGTGGTACCTAGCAAGCACTAGTTGAGTGAGAGAGACAGAGAGAGAGAGAAAGAGAGAGAGGGAGAAAGAGAGAGAGAAAGGGAGAGAGAGAGAGAAGAGATAAAGCTACCACAGACACTTGCGCCAACTTGACCATAAAATTTCAAAATGATTTTTGTTAAGAAAGCCTAAGGAATTTCTAACCAAATGTCTGCAATGAAGTGGCCATTACTGGCTTTTCATTATATAACTTTACTATAGCAGTGAATGCTAGGGCAGGGTTGTATGGGCATCCAAATGTGCCCCACTATGCTAATAACTAATAACTAATTACCTCCAAGTCTGTATGGGTAAAAGTGACAAAAAATAGTATTTCTCCCTCATGCTAGCTGTACCCCACGATGTTTTAAGTTGAGTGCAGCCCTGCTCTTAGTTACTGTCCCTTGTGGGTATAGGGTGACAGAAAATCCACAACTATAGGGACACTGTGGTGTAGGAAAAAAAACATGGCAAACTACACATTAGGTCTCCTCAGATTCTCTCTAGAGGGGACACTTCACTGCGGTGCACTTTCCTCCTAGTGTTTCATTGGCTAATGCAAATCACATGACCTAAGGGATTTTTATACCCCCAGGAGAATCAGAACACTGCTAAGAGCTCTAAGGCTTCCAAATCTTAGATTTTTACCAATAATAAAGATTCCTGGGTGTGGTTGCTCATACATATAATCTCAGTACTTTGGAAATAGAGGCAGACAGATTGCCTAGCATTTGAGGTTAATATGGGTTATCCCAAGAAGGCCCAAGTTGGAGTGAGATCCTGTCTCGAAAACAAAACAAAACAAAACAAAACAAAAGATAAAACAATGAGGAAAGGACTACTACCCCTCAAACTAAAAACACCAGCTAAATTTGCAGCACAAATACTGTCTCATATCTGTGGTTGTCTCTCTGAGTGAGACGACACCAGGACTTCCTCTAACTCATCACACAAAACACTTTTCATAGGAGCAATACTATCTCATCAGTGAACTGTATCTCCTGGAAGAAGTTACCTTCTCTCAATCTGCCCCATTTAAATGTGCTCTTTCAAGTTCACTTGGTTCTTAATGACTCTGGGGTGGTAATAGCTAGTCAGTCCTAAACATAACTGGCTGAGAGCTTCCTAAGCTAATTTCTGTCTAGGACCTTTGCTGTTCAATCATCTCTCTTTCGTTCTAGTCCAGCTGCCATTGGACTTCCTGAACCACTGGATAGTCATTGCTCTCAATTGGCTTGTCTTCGAGTGCCTTTAAACCTGTGTTTCCCTGTGTAAAACCCTGCTGGCTGAAGTCAACTTGATGCATGATGGAGTCTTTACGGGTTGTGATTTGTAATGTATGATGGAGTTGGGATTTGTAAAATTGCAGCGGGTCATGGTCTCTCCCTCCCAACTGAAATGCATTCTTGTCACCGTGAATAAGAAGAAAGACATGTCTGGATAAGGGAAAATAAGAAGCCCACTCCTAAAAAAAAGGTCTGTGCTTTTCTAACTGCACTCTAATGTTTTACTTTCCCTGGCTCTAGTAAACCAGAGTGGTCACTAATGGCAGAAAAAAAATGTATTACCTGCTAATTCTGTTTACTTTGTATTGTCATATTTATTATGTGTCTTGGAAATACTTTGTTCTTTATATATACAGTGTAGGTTTCTAGACACTTCTCTTCTCTGGCTATTTGAATATGCGTGTTTGTGTATGTGAGTGTGTATATGTATGAGTATTGTATATGGATACGTGTGTGTGTGTGTGTGTGTGTGTGTGTGTGTGTGTGTGTGTGTGTGTATGTTTTCATCTTACAGTTGTAGTTCATTATCCAGGGATGTTAGGGCAGGAAGTCAGGTCAGGAATGTGGAGGCAGAACCTGAAACAGAAGCCATGGAGGAGTGCTGCTTTATGACTTGCTCCTCGTGGCTTGCTCAGCCTGCCTTTTCATACATCCCAGGTCCACTTATTCAGGGGTCGAATCACTCACACATGTCTGGGCCCTCCCACATCAATCATCTAGCCAAAAATTTCCCAGCAGACTTGCCCAGAGACCAATCTGCTGGGATTACTTTCTCAACTGAGATTCCCTCTCCCCAAATGACTCTTGCCTGAAGATGACAAAAAATTAACCAGGACAATGTGAACTGGTCTATATGTGTGTGTGTGAGCACATGTATGTGTTGAAGTGTGTGTTTCTGTTGATACTCCTTGAAACAGACAATAGACTTTAACACTGAGAAACTAAATCTGGTTCATCCTTTTTCCCTATGAGGACATTATGGCTTAGAAAGGTCACACTAAAGAAAGAGGAAATTCTTGGATTCTTCTTTAAAATTATCAAAAATATTTTAAAAATTTGCAACGGACAAATAAAGGTCAAAGCTTTTAAGAATAGTAATAACTGTCAAGTCATGATTGATGCTTGGAATATGATGATCATGCTATTTTAAAGAGACATAAAATGACTATAATACAGATTTACTGAACAGTTTCGAGTTTACATGAACAATGATTGCTAGCAGTGTTACAAGAGCTTCTGAGGACACAGGAGACCTTGGCAATGAGCCTCTGTAGTTAATTGTGAATGTGTTCTCCATTTGGGGAATGAGGGAAACAGCATCTGACCGCCTTTGCCATTGCCTGGTGTAGCTCAGAGCACAGGCAAATGGAAAGAGATGGACTATAAATACTGCATTTCATTTTGACCATAATACTCCACAAACTATGAAACCCTTCGATAGTGATAGCATACCAATTATGAAGTATGTTGATTAGCTGAATGTGTTCCCTTTTCCTAGTAATAAAGTAGGTGGTTTAACAACATTTGAAGTTGTTTTGTTTTATGATGTGTTTAGATCAGATGATAAATCAAATGTGTTAGTGGTCACCATATACTGGTTGAATGATAGATGAGAGACAGAAGCAGTCGATGTCCAGTCACTCCCTGCGAGCTTTGAGGTCTTGCAAATAAGGAAGTCACGCAGGAACGACTCTGAGTGCTTCTGAGAGCAAGTCACAAGAGACGATTCCTCTGCAATTTGTTCTTAAATGGCATGTGGGTAAGGCTGTATTTCAAATAATAAGAACATTGTGATTTGTAGTAGAGGAACCCTAAAGAGAGACTTTGAGGAGATCTATGACGCATGGTTACATTTTCTTCTGGTTTATGAGTAATAAGGACACTGAACATTGTTTGGGAGAAAACAAAGAATTTAAAAAACATTTGCTATGAAACTGCCCCAGAAATGGAGAAAGATGGAAAACAATGAATATACTTGACAATCAAGGACAGGCAAGTTAACAAAAGAAAGACTCAGCTGAAATGCCCTAAAATGCATTATAAGCAGTTTTTGCAAAATATTGTTTCCAGATTCAAAAATAATTCTGAGTATAGCATGAATCTCAAACATCGCTTGTGAATAGATGCTTAAAATCTCCACATCTTTCAGTCTTTACTTCCACTCTAAGAAGGATAGTGTTGGAGTAAGTGGACTTGTGTTACCTCAAGTTAGGTGTGAGTGATATATCTCCCCAGTGAGGGGTTGAAGTCTCAAATACGCCTTTGTCTTTCTACGGAAGTGGCTTATGTCTCTGTCGCATATGTATATATGTACATATATTCCTAAATACAACTTGCTCAGCCCATATAATCCTATTTATATGTATGTTTTCATGATTGTTCATTTGATATTGAATATCCAATTAGTGTACTGTGAAGAACTAATAATATAGACAACTAGAAATGATAAATGCTGCATATTAGAACCCTTTGTTGTGACGTATGAACAAATACTTGATAATCATGCCTGTTACAATAGTCATGTCATAAAGGACTAAAAATGAAAGCATAATGTCTCTGAATTCCAGAAATGTTTTTGACATTTATACTCAGGATATTTTTTCCTATTTCCTTGCCATTGCTGTGAAAAGATAATTTAGAAAATCAATATATAATGAGCTTTATTTTGGCCTATGGTTTCAAGGGCTTCAGTCCTTGGTTGACTGTCTTTGTGGTCCAGGTCTGTGTCAGGCAGAATGTCATGGAGGGAAGCAGATGCCATAGAAAATCCTTATTCAATGGCAAGCAGAAGGAAGGGTTATCATTTCCCAGTAGCTCTAGTGACTGAGGACTGAGAGAAAAGAGAGGAGGAGAAAGAGGAGGATGAGAAGGAGGAGAAGGGGAGGGGAAAATACACAGGGGGGGGACTTAAGATCCAAACACAGCACTTACATTTTTTGAAGAAAATATTAGTAGAGATGGCATGCAGATGTGGTCAAGACACTAACATATCATGTCTGAATAGAAGACGAATGAGAGGTGCGAGTTTCTTATTACCTCTCTCATGATTCATCGCAAACTTAATGGGCAAAGGCAGTATGACTTTATCATCTGATGTTTTGGGGAGTTATCAGTCCTAAATTCAAGTCATGGAAATAGTTGTTATCTTTCTGGGACCTCAAGTAAGGCCTCTGCTACTGACTCTAAGTCTCCTGCTAACCTCTTCGAAGGGTCTTTGTGACTAAATAGTGTCCACTGGAATGATGTAGGTCACAGGTAGGTACAGCTTGCAGCCTCTGGGCTATATGTGACCAAGAAGAGAGCTCTGAATATTGCCTTTGTTTCTCTTCTGTTGCTGGTTCACATAATTCCAGTGGTCAGCTTGGGTGGCAAATTGGTTGGAGGTTGACTGGTCTTAGTTGGTCTCATACCTTCCAGCTGAAGATAGATGAGGTGGTGAGGCTTGCCCTTGCAGAAATTACCTGGACAAGCCTAGACTCCTAGAATTCCTTAGGTGATTTGTGGTAGCTCTTAAACTTCATTGCTGCTAGACACTGAGTTTGGGGATGACGTCACATGGAAATAACCAAATGACATTGGTATTTAATCATCCCTTCCAAAAGATCAATAAATATCAGTAAAAGTTGTTTCCAATTCTGCCATATGGTTTCACCAATCAACAAGAACAGAGAAAAATGAAAAAAGAACAAGAGAAAAGTGTGTGAGACAAAAGGACAAACAGCAATGGAAATGTCAATAGAAATAGTAATAGAAATGAAGAAAAGGATTAGGAGGAAAGAGACAGAGGAGGGGGAGGAAGAAGGAGAGGAGGATAAAGGGAATGAAGAAAAGGTTTAGAAAGAGGAGACAAGAGGAAGAGGAGAAAGTGGAGGAAAGGAAGAGAAAAATAAGAGAAGTAAAAAGAGTAAATGGAAGGGCTGGGAAGACATCTTCTGTGACAGCACTTGACATAAGCATTTGCAGTCATGATTACCAGAGCTTGGATCCCCAGAAACCCGCTTAAAAGCCCAGTTGTTTGGGCAGTCTTCCTGTAATTCCAGCCTCAGAAAATGAAGACACGTGATTCACAGAGAAAACTAACTAGCCAAACTAGCCATATTGGCAAAGTCTGGGTTTGGTTGGTAGACCCTGCCTCCAAGAATAAGATAGAAGAACAACTCAAGATGATTCCCAGCATTGACCTTCGACCTCTGTGCCAACACCTACACACAGACAAAAATGTGTATACGCAAAGACATAAAATGGAAAAGGATAAAAGAAGGAAGGAGAGGAAAAGAAAGAATGGCAGAAAAGAAAATGGGAAGAAGCTCTGAGGGAGGAAGGGATGGGTAGAGGAAAGTGGAATACAACTTGCTTTTCACTTGCCAGGACTTCCAAAATGCAAACTAAGACCCCCACGGAGGGTGCATGGGCACATATCCCCCACTTTGTGCTTGTGGGGGCGTGAATGGAGAGAGAGAGAAAGAGAGAGAGAGAGAGAGATGATTTTTAAGTCTCTTTGAGGAATAGCTTACAATTCAGATGGAAACTTAGAGAAAAAAAGAAAATGTATTCATCCTTCAGAAGTATTAAAGGCAGATTCCAGGCAAAGAGGAGAGAACATCTTGTATTCTGCATTCTGAGACTGTCAATATTCTTTTCCTTATTCATTTATCAGAAAGTTTGTATCACTGCACTAAGAACCATGGGAAATTCTTCCCTGGTAAGTTCAGTTCACTCCAAGGAGGAAGGGGGTTGTCTTGTGGAATGCCTCAAGCAGCCAACCCTGAGGTAGAGGCCGCAGTGGATAGGAGACGCACAAGGATGCTAACGTTGTCTCTAGGCTTCACATTTGATCCGTTTCCAAGGAGCCTGGAAATGCTCCAACCTGAAAGACGGAGGACAGAAAAGCAGGGAAGCTGCAGGAGGCAGACAATGCAGGAAGCGTTTTGTTTGGTCTGCTTTGTTTTAGTCTGTGAGTCAAAGTAAAAGAAAAATAGCAAAAAAAAATGTGGTAAGTGTACCCCCACCTGTGAATTTCTATGAAGAGTAAAAAGATTTGGAACCAAAAATTTAACTGCGCTTATCTTCGAGATGAGTAAGAATGATAAAATCATGAGACAATAGGAGTAGGAAAAAGAAAAACTAAGAACACTAAGGCCTTAGTCACAGGCTACAAAATAGCATTTTGGCCCACAATGAAATACATTCAACAGTAGTCCCATAAAACAACATTATCAAAATTCCACAGCCACCTCAATCTCAGTGAGTACATTCTATAATATCCACACAATGACAAAACCACCTAATAACTTGTTTCTTGGAATATGTCCCCATTGTTCAACCACCTGTGACTTTGGGTAGGAAAAATTTCAAGTCTCAAAGAAAAGTTGCCCAAGGAAGAATTAGAATTACCACAGGAAATAAAGCAAAAACATAGACAGAAAACACAAAAACTAAAGTACCTAGGGAATCAGAGATGAGAGAAATCAACCCGGTAGAATTACTATTCAGACAAAAAACAAGAAAGAAAAAAAAAGAAAAGAAAGGAAGAAAGAGCAGAAGTAAGAAAAGAAATTACTTGCTCTGGTTAAGGGATTTGAATTCCATAAATGGACAAACCATGCCAGAGTTCAACATGACAAGTTTTCTGCAGGGTGTCAAGGATTCTCGCCACAAAATTCCTGACATTAGAAATATTATATTAACTCTATCAGAGACTAGAATATCAGTCATGCTCATCACAGCAAGGCACGTGCCTAAGAAAGAATGTAATGACCCACTTTCAAATTCTGAGGGATTCTCCCCAGCTAGCCCAGCATTTCCACCAGTCCAGCATCTCCCCCAGCTAGCCCATTTAGCCAGTGCTGCACAGCATCAACAACCCCCCGAAACGCTTATCATTAATATTCTTCATAGGTGTGAAATTTGCACTAGTGACACAGAGGATGTCTTCCATGCTCCAGGTGGCTGAAGCTTAGTGGCTTGATGAGTCAGATCACCCACTTCGGAGACATCACCACCCGTAGGATTGACTGCAAACCCCTCTCTTCTAGAATGTGTGCCGTATGTGTGTTTCCTATCAGCATACCCATTGAGTTCTAGAAACAGGTGTCTCGAGATGAAAAGTAATATAAAACACACACACATGTGCACACACATACACACCCTGTGAAAGTTCATAATTACAATGCTGACATAGTCACAATTCAGCCTAGATTCAAAAGCAGGCAATGGGCATGCTATCTCTGTGAGACAGGAATATCAGACTCACATTTTAAACATATGTAAGGTAGGAGATACTGTCATTGTCAATTTTAGGAGAGGGCATAGTATGTTACCCTAAGCAAACATTCTTATGCAGAGAAATCATCACCTACTGCCAAAGAGTCAAGGTGACACATTTCAGACATGTTAGATGGCACAGGCTTGACTTTCCCTCTCATGGCTTAACAGGAGCATGCCTTTTCCTGAGATGGGATAGCTGTTCTAGAAAGATGATTAAAAGCTGAGGATTTTGTTCTGCAGATAAGGTAACCACTTGCATACACAAAGCCATGAGATCAAGTCTCAGCACCACATAAAAGTGAGGCGAGGTGGTACCCATTGTCATCCCCTTATTCACCACTGAGGAGGGTAAGCAGAAGTACAAGGTCATCCTCTGTGACGTAGTTTCGAGGCCAGTTTGGAATCCATGAGACTGTCTCACAAAACAACTGGTAACTGAAATCTAGAGGAGGATCAAGGTCCATGGAGGGATGGAGGCTGAGAGAGAGTATATGCTCTAAGAGAATCAGTCGAGCATCATCCAGATAAAGAAACCCAACAATCTTCCTGGAACATGTCAGGAAACTACAGCCACAAGTTCCCCACAAATACAAATGGTGAATTTTGATGATGAAGAGAGATTTTTATCAAATTAGGAAAGAATCTGAGGCTCAGGTTAATGAAGTTAAGATGGAAATAAAGAGTTCAAATGAAGGGGGAAATGGTTTTTGCAATAAAATTCCCTCTGTTGATAGCATGGATTCATTTAATATGAGCAAAATGCATTGGTGTGTATGGGATGGACAGGGAAGATTAGAGGGTGCGAAGTCATTGTCTTTTGTCATGAGAAATTAAAATCTGACTTCTAAAATTTAGAAGTTTGTTCTTATAGATATATACATTGATGAAAACATTGGGAGTGATTGCCTCTAAATGAATGAGAGGCATGCTGTGAGAACTGCATTGTTTCCATCCATGTTGTGAAATCAGTTGAACTTGAGAATAGAGAATGTGGGCAGGTTTGGATCTGAAGATTCCACTGTGGTGTAGGCTACAGGGTCTCTAGGAGGAGAGATGAAGAACCTAGCTGTGTGGGAGCAATGGAGCTGTTCTCCTTCCTGCAGCAGAAGCCTGGACTTCTCCTAGGAACTGGACAAGTACCAAGTAACTTTACTTGCTGTGCACCCATGGCCGGTAGAGGACAGAGGGGCATGAACCAATGATGCCCCCATCAGTATCCTGCTGACTCTACGGCCTTGGAGGAGGGAACTCCTTAAAAGTGACCTTTGATAAATAGGGAAGCCATAACTATCACATCCAGAAAAACTCATCAGGCTTCCCAGGAAATATGAATGTAAATAAAATATTGATTAAAAGCTAAAAGGATTTTAATTAGGTTACTTAGTTTAATAGTTTAATTTGGCAGAAACAGACAACTTGGACAAGGTTCTTTGTGTAAGCACATTTTAAGCCACTAATTAAAATTTCAGATGGCAATCTGAGATTAGCAAGGGGATCTTCAAAGGCAAGCAAGATGCCCACTTATTTATTTTTTTAAAAAGACACAACACGATTCTCAGATGTTCCTGCAAGCCTTCTGTTTGAAACAGCATGGATACTCAGACAGTGGAATCCTCTTTGACCTCATACACCCTCAATAACTAATATATGTTGAACTGAAAGGATAGTTTAGAGGGCAAAAAGCATATAAGTTATAAGCATTTTTGTTATGTTCTAAATAGAATAGAAATATAATCGAATAGAAAGAGTTGGGCTTTCTGAAATACAGTGTTATTAAATAGAAGAAATTGATTCCTAAACATATAAAAGGCAAAGCTCAGCCTAATATTATTTATTCAGTCCGATTCGGCTAGTGCATAAACCATTTAAAGTAAAACACCCAGAGAAGCT